GAAGGGAAGGGAAGGGAAGGGAAGGGAAGGGAAGGGAAGGGAAGGGAAGGGAAGGGAAGGGAACTGTCCAAGAAGTACATTTTTTCCTCTTGTTTGTGCTCAGTCAGTCCTGTACCATAGGTTTTCTACTTTCACTTCTACAAGCAAGGTTCTGTTTGCATGCCCAAATCTGAGCAGTCCATCATCCAATCTTATACTGAGCCAGGGGCTGAGTTTTAACAAATTTTAATGGCAAAGAATTATCTTTCGTCCATTTACACAAATTTTAAATACTGACACCCTTCTCTTGTCACAGGACAGGAGAAAAATAGCATCCAGTTTATATTGGATCTTCTAACTTTATGTTGGCTTGTTGAATTTGGGTCTAATCCTTTCTTGATGCAATTTTGGGTGTTAATACTAGCAATGCAAAAAATAAATGGGACAGGAAGAAAACGTATGATCAAGGCACCATGAAATCTTTATCTCTTCTATGTGCTTTTGCTGTAGTTCCCTGGATTTCCTCATCAAATTGCATGAGGACTTGTTACACCAAATTCTGACAAAGGAGGCAGTGGTATGGTCACGCAACAGGCACCTGGCACACAGCAGAGGAACCTCTTCCCTGACTCTTCCTGGTTAAAAGATGGACTAAGTGCAGCCCTGTCAAACCATGCTTCATCTAATTCCCAGTGTGCTGTTTTCCTACTCACAGAGTGGCGCAAGGCAAGGACAAAGGGGAATTAATATATTTGATACGCCTCTTATTGTTACTAAGAGCTCACACATATATAAAAGAGGTACAATTGCTAAGTCACAGTAGACAAAGAATCAGTCTAGTGTGACAGGCTAGACAGTTTTATCTGTACCCATCCTTGGAAATGCTCAAGACCAGGTTGGAGGGGGCTCTGAGCAACTTGGCCGAGGTGTCCCTGCCCATGGGTTGGCACTGGATGATCTCTAAGGTACTTCCAGCCCAAGTCATTCTGTGATTCTTTGATTCTATGAGTACAGAGTGTGCTGTGTACCTTAAAATCTTTGCAATGACCTTCTAATTTGTCTTTGCATGCTGCTAATTTTAATGTGGCTATTTTTGGTAGATAGTATTAAGATCAGAATGCTTTCTGAAAAATACAAGAGGATTTAGAATAATGAAGGGTCCAGATCTGAAAACATTATCTTTTACTTAATTCTTTTTTTTTTCCTTTGGCATATCTGACAATCTGTTCTTTTAGACTGATGCAATCCATTCAGAAATGGTGTCATAGCAGCAAGCTTGAACTGCAGTGCAAAAAAGCAACAAAGAATCACTGTTTCTGCCTTGTCCTAAAAACTTTTTCAAAATGTGCATATATACACATTTAGAGCTCTGTTGAACTGTAGAAGTGAAGAGAGAGAAAAGCACTGAATAATTCATCAAATTTTCTTCCTTTATGTCCAATTTTCCCAAATAAACATATAAAACCAAACTGAATTCTTACAAATTATTAATATTAAAGATACAGCTAGAGGATTTCATCTCAAAGAAAAATAGTCTTGCTAGTCAGCCTTGGTTGGGTTTCTGTGACTTAGAGACAGGCATGCAGATCTGAGGCAGCCATCCCTGTCTCTGTGCCTTGTCCATGTAGGCGACAGAGTCCAGGGATTAAGAGGTCTCATCCTAAGCAGAGATCTAAAACATTTGATATAATAATAACCTGATTGATAAAAGTATTTGATATAAAATTAATATTTGATATAATAATAATAACTTGACTACATTACAAAAGTGTCTATTTCTCTCAATAAAAATACGAAGAGTCCAAGCAGCTATGGATATGTACGTCACAGATGCTTAAAGTCGTGAGAGAGTAAAAATTCCCTCTGAAAAACCAAATTACATAAGTTGAATTATGACAACAGAAACAGTGTCAGACAAATACATAACATTCAAGAATATTCTAAATATCCTCTTACCTTCATGCCACTGCAGGGAATTCCAATTAAAATAAAGTCTCTGGGAATACCCAGCCAGATCCATTGCAGATTTTATATGTCAATAAAACACTCTCCTATGACAGAACTTCGACTTGACTTCAGTGAAATTGAGCCTTATGCAGAGAACATCCTTGCTATAGTGTTTACTGATTTAGCTTGCAAAGGAGTGTTTAGAGGGATATTAAGAATTAACTAGCATATTCTCTATTCGTGGTTATGTGTGTAATTCCCCAATCTGAAAGAGGAGTATATATATCTAAAAGTAAAGCTCCATACACAGTTTCCCATTAGACATTGCTTACTCATTTAAAATGTATGTTTACTTAAAATTTTGTACCCTGGGAAGATCTAATGAAATATACATTTCATTTTAGCAGGGATTCCCAGAGGAGTCAGCTGCCAGGCAGCCTTTTTCTAGCTCCTTCCGTGCAAACTGTGTAAAGCAGGACACTAAATCTGCAATAGCAGGCAACACTCAGGAATTGGAGTTTCAACTCTGTTTATGCAGGCAGTGCCTGAGGAGTACCTGGATCTGAACAATTCTGTTAGTACATTGATAATTCATCCATAGCAATTTGTTACCTGACACTAATTTCCTACAAAATCACAGTATCTAAACATGCTCCACATAAAATCACATTTAGGAAAGTCAGAAGCTAAGAGGAAATGAATGAGTGAAATTTCCCTAGTTATGAAAGCCCGCAGTATTTTGGCATCCCAAAGTCCTGCATGACCCACAGCTTAATTTTAGCTGCTTTTGTCTTAGGCAATGGATAGGCAATACTAATTCTTCTAGCTAAAAATCTACCTTAAATTCTGTCCCACATTCTGAAACAATGAAGACAGATTAAAAAAACAGACTGAAGAAAGTTAAAAAGTATTGCATAAAGTTCATAACTACCAGAATTTGTACAAAAGACTTAATACCTTGTATTTTATCAAACAAGGCCACACAGATCATTTGCATTGTTAGAGTTAAATAACTGTATGCCATGTGAAAACACGTGCATGAAGAAACATAATTGTATACACTTTTCATATCCTGAATTAGTATAATGTTTTATTAATTTTATATATAAATTATATTTATATACCATAATAATTGTTCTATAATTATATTATTTCATTATATATTAATTATTTTATTTATATTTTTATAAATACTTCAAAATCAATGTCATAAACAGTCAAAAAGAGAAAACTACATTACAAGCCTTTGGTTGAAATAAAGGACAGGGAAGTAGTAGTATACTTCTTGACAGGAGTCCTGAAGGCATTTATATCAGGAGTCATTTTAAACTCAGTCAAGAGGGATCCAGGCATCATTGGCTATAAGTAGTGCCAGCCAGGAAAACTAATCTCTATGAAATGATACTGAAAAAGCATTTTTAAATATACTCTTTTCCATCAAAGCCTTTCACAGAATAAATGTCTTGAAAGAGTTTGACTGAACTGACAGACAGATCTGAATCTTTCACTCAACAAATACAAACCAAAATGAAACTATAGCTGGCTTTATGAAGGAAAATAGAGGTAAACTCGAGAGACAACTATGGTCTCTAGAGACGAAACAAGTACTCTTAGTTATGAAAACAGTTGGAAAATACCAAAGGAGCAAAACTCTCTCAGAGCTTTTATCCAGCAACTAATAGCAAAGGTGAGTGGCATTTGCTACAGGGAGAGTGGAAAGTGGGCTACTCACAATATTGTTAAATACAGGATTGGGTTCTGCTCAATCATTCAGACCTGCCAGACTAGCTGCACAGCCATCTACATCAAAATGCCTTGAAACTGTAGGATAAGAATACAGCATATTTTTTAGACTTTTCCAGATTGGGCAGGGCTCATAACAAAGGAACTACTAAAAACAAAAATAAATTTAAAGGAAGTGGGTTAGAAATAGGATGGGAAAACAAATAAGAAAAAAAATAGTAAGCAATTTTTAAAAATTTATTTTAAATTCATACTCTGGTTCTTTGTAGCCTAAGCAAGGTATTTACAGAAAACCATAGAGTTCAAGACAATTTGGCTTTGAAAGAGGAAATGAGCTGTTAGTTTTGAAAGAGGCAGCAGGTTTTGTCATTAGAAAGTTATATGAAAATCATTTTGCAGATTTGAAGTGTTGAACATTAAAATACACAACAGCACCCTTTTGTTTAAAAGTGTTATAAAAACCTTCTGACTCTTCCCAAAAACTGATTGCTGGAGCCGTACTGGTCCCCATCCTTGCCACATGTCAAATGCCATTCCCCAGCAATATCAGCTACACAACTTCAGGCTAAGGAAGGAAACAATCTCTCAAGCTTCTCCAGCAGGTGATCAGATATCACACCAGCCTCCCCCAAGGTGTCAGCCATCAGCAGTCACATCTTTCCCCAGGACAGCCCACAGCAAAATCCATCTGGCTCCCAATCACAGTATTTATCAACTCAGTAAAAAGATAAAGACATTTTGTTAGCAGAACTCTTACCCTTGTGACTGAAAAAGGATTTGCAAGACTGTAGTTGTTTCATAAATATATACAAATGTTCCTTAGAGTTGCAGCATCAGTGCCAGGTTAGTTAAATGAAACCATTTATCTCCCCTTATGTGTAACAAGCCCATTACTTTTTTATCTTCTGGGGCTGCAGATTGACAGTACTGAGGTGGCATGGTTATCTAAAAAAAAATGAGACCCTAGCTTCTTGCCTTGGCTCCAGGTGGGATAGAGTTAATTTTCTTACTAGTGCTACGGGTTGGCTTCAGTAGGAGAAAAATGTTGACCACATAGCAGTGGTTTAGTTATTTCTCACAGTTCTTACTCTAAATTACCTTTCAGTTTCCCATGCCCTGCCAGTGAGGAGGGGCACAAGAAGCCAGGAGGGAGCATGGCCAGGACAGCTGATCTGAACTGGCCAAAGGTATATTCCATACCACAGAACATCTTGCTCAGGAGATGCGCTGGGAGGAGCTGGCTGGGAGGGGATGATTGCTGCTTGGGGACAGTCCGGGCTCTAGTCAGTGGGTGGTAAGGAATTGCACTGTGCATCATTTGTTTCTAGAGAGTTTTATTTCTATTTTGTTGTCTTGCTTTTCATTATTGTTGTTGCTGTCATTACATTTTATTTCAATTATTAAACTACTCATTTCAAGCCACAGGTTTTATCTTTTTTCTGATTTTCCTCCCCATGCCAATGGGGGGATGGGGTGAAAATTGAGCATCTGCGCAGAGCTTTGTTGCCAGCTGGGGCTAAAGTGTGACTCTTCTTTTTCCCTTCCTTAAAATTTATTTCCACCTCCACCTTCACACCACTCCAAGCTGTACAAGTGCTAACACCACCTATTTCTCCAAAGGATCAACTCCTGAATCCAATTTACCCAGCAGCTGCAGCAGGTCAGGGTGCAGAGTTAATGTGGCCAGAGGGGAGGTGACTCTCACAGCCAGGAGGGCTCAGATGCCTCACACACCACAGCTAAACCCCAAAACACCCCAGTGCAGTTTGATGAAAATGTCCCATAAGAAGCCCAAGTAATGAGACCTGAGATTTTTAGTTGCAAATGTAATTGCTCTGTAAAAGAATCAGATAAGAAAGGCTGTTACCAGCAATTAATTTATAAGTTTATTAGAATTATGACTAAAATTTAATTGAAATAGAAGATACAAGATAAAATTAAAAAGAACTATGCTAAATAAACACATCCATATCTACTGCAGCTCTGTATCTACTGTTTACTAGAACTGCCATGGTACTGTTATCTTGTCTCTTATATTAAGAAAACAATTATAATAATTTGCCCTGATAGCATTTCTACTTATCTTAATAGATGAAAAAAAAATTATTCCATTTCTGCATTAAATCACAATTTTTAAAAAGCTTCTACTTAAGTTTTACCTCTATTAAATTTTGCTGGACTGCTGTACTCTTCATTACTGTTGTCTCTCAAAATATCACCTTCACTTGAACTGTAAATAGCCCAGGAAAATAGTTCAAACCTTAAAGGGAAACTTCCAAAGAGAAGATGTTTTTTCCTTCATATCTGAGACCTTTCCCAAGGGAATAGGACACTTTTGGAGGTGTTAGTGCTTCATGTTTGTAGCAATGGGAAAAAAATGTAGAGAAATAATGGGTTGGCTGAGATTATTATGAAAGGGTTTCTCCTATTAGGAGATTCAGGGCAAATAAGAGTCAAGATAAAACAAAGTTATGGTGGAAAGTTGGAGAATTTGTACTAGTTTCAATATCTTTTCTTCCATCTCCTAAATTGCCAATTGTCATATGTCATTACTGCTCAGGCTGTTAGCTGCTCATTTGATTACAGCGTGGATCCCTCTCTGGAGCACGGCTCTGCCTGCGTGTGAAATCACAAAATGTGCTTGTGCAGGTGCAAAAGCTTGGGAGAACAGGAAGATGATAATTAAAGTATTTTGTTGCCTTTTAAATGCATAGTTACATCTACAACAAAACACAGAAATACTAAGCTGTTTGCTTCTATTTGTCCTTAAAGGATTTGTGGCTGGATGTACTTCAGTAGTTGCCAAGAGTTCTTGCACAGTATTAATACTAATTTATGATGAAGCAAACCAAATGAACCACAAGTTATTTAAGAAAATGAAATAAGGAAACTTTTGAGGTTTTAGCAGGAAAACAGACTGGAGTGTGAGTAGTCTGATGTAAATGAATGGATGGCTTCAATGAAAATGAAAGAGAAGAAAACTCCCTCCTGGGGTTCATTATGCCTCTTGAGCTGTTGGTAGTAAAGTTAATTTTTAAATGCTTTGAGGTGATTAAAAACTCAGGCATCACTCTAAATGTAAATAAGTCCTGTTTCATTTCCTTGCAGTTAACTGATTGCAGCAGTCACCAGCTACTTAGCTTGCTGATATATTTGAGATCTGTAGTCTAGTTCATAATTAACCCTCTTCATATGAAGAGATAGTGTTAGCAAGCCTGTTGTTGAACATATATAACCAGGATGTGACATATTCACTCAATAGGGAAGGAGAACATTTACATTTGTAAATCTTGAGGGCACTATTAGAAGCAAAAATTTCACAGAACAGAAACCAGCATAGAAAAGGAATTTGTTTCCATTTACACTGGATGCAGCTTAAAAATGAAATCAAAATATATGTAGTTTAGAACCTTCAGCATAAACAGAATAATTATTTATTGTAAAATTAGAAAAACCATTAAAGCTTTACCTATTCCTCCCCATCAGGTCTACTAAAAAGAAAATTTCAATAATTTGTAGATGAATATAACAAATTAAAAATCTCAGATGACAATCCATTTGTGTAATGCATATAAACAAACAATTAAGAATTAACATCAATA